TCGGCTAGGTGCTGATACAGCCGAATCGCAAATCAGTAGCAGGCCCGAGCTGTCCCGAACCGCACTTACCTTGGGTCTGCAAGCTCACACCGGCTCGTGATGCCACGGAGAGGGCTCGAGATTGTCTCCGGTGGACCCCATCCGAGGCGATTCCGAGGGCTTTACGGAGGTCATTATCGGCGCCACCGACCGTGAAATGTCCCGACCCGCAGCCCTCATGCACCAGGCGCAAGGATTCAGTCATAATATGTAGGCCTTCTCTCCCGAAGTTTTGAGCAATAGCCGCAAATAGTACTTTTCGGCAGTTCATCGCGACACGTCCAGGTGCCGATGAAGCGGCTTCCCAGCTCACCACCTCGCCATCTCTGTCGCTCTCCTGGCCCAGGCCCATCAGTACCAAGCCTAATCTGTCCCAGACCGCACTTATCTTGGGTGATGAAGCTCACTCTGGCTCATACCACGGCTCTTACGGCCTCACACACGCCTATTTCACCCACAGACACCGCCGGCACGCACTCCCACTTCACACACGCTCAAGCACAACCCCATCAAAGCACAGCCCTGCTCATAATTGACAAGGGCTACCACTTGGTGGCCCTGGTAGCCTCTGGATCGTCACTGCACTCGGCTCCTCTGCAGCGGTCTCGGCTCTCGCCACGACAGCACGCCGACGGCAAGCTTTGAGATCCGTCTGGTGGACCTGCTGTGGCCAAAGCCGCCCCTCGCATGCAGCCCGCACCAGACCTCGACACTGGGCCCGCTCAGCTTGGTTGTGGCGGCGTGTGTGAAGGATGCGCGGCCGAGCCGCTGGCGCTGCTACAGCGGCGCGAGAAGCAGGCAGCGGCGCGACACCCGGTCGGTCGAGTCTGGCCGTTCTCTCGACGCCGGCCGGCGAGGGTGGCGGCCTGTGGCCGGCTGGTGGGCGGAGAGCAGCCAGGAGGACTCCAGAGTAGCCGGCAACATGAAGCAACGGGAGAGCGCACAGCGAGCGCAAACACAGCTCTGAGAAAGGGCGGGGAGTGGGCCTTTAACTTCAGAACGCCCTTGGAGCACTTGGAGTGCGGTTAGCAGCCTCACATCCAGGACCGGGGAGCTCAGAAGCGCACCCAGTTGGCCGGGTGATCGGGATCGGGTTGCGGGCAAGAGAGCCCTAGCCCCGGGGGTGCGCGGTCGCAGGGCCATGACATGTATTTTTCTTTCCGGGGCGCTCTTGTCGGAGCTGCGAAAGCTGGCTCCGAGCTGCCTGCTGCAGCTGGGTCGCTTCCTCTTCCTCAAAACTGCTCTCGGTCTGCTCCCAGCTCTCCTCAAAAAATGCTGCTGCCCGCTCTCGCACTGTCCTCCGCCTTCCTGGCTCCGCACGCCGCGTCGCGCGCCCTCTCCACGTCCAAGGTCGCCATGAATGGCGGCAAGGGCTTCGGCGGTGGCGAGGCGACGCGAGATCCGGCGCCGACCGTGATTGACCCGAACGACCCAAAGGGTAAGCAGCAGGCGATCCACAAGGCGGAGTCCTTCGCCGAGTACCTCGCCAAGCGCTCGGCGGGCGGCGGCGCGGCGCCGGCGGGCGGCAGCGCCGGAGCGTACCCCAGCCTGCCACCGTCGGTCAAGCCTGGCGTGCTCACCGGTCAGGCGGTGGTGGACCTGCTGGAGGACGCAAAAAGGAGGGGCTACGCCATCCCTGCCGTCAACTGCGTCACGTCCTCCTCCGTCAACGCCTGCCTCGAGGCGGCAGCGGCGGCCAAGGCTCCGGTGATGATTCAGTTCTCGTCGGGCGGCGCTCAGTTTTATGCGGGCAAGGGCCTCGACAACACCGACTTTGACGCGGCCGTCGCTGGGGCGGTGTCTGGCGCTCACCACGTGCGCACGCTCGCCGCCAAATACGGCGTGCCGGTGATCCTGCACACAGACCACTGCGCCAAGAAGCTCCTCCCTTGGGTGGACGGGATGCTGGCCGAGTCGGAAGCGCACTACGCCGCGCACGGCGAGCTCCTCCCTTCTCGCCGCGCCGCCGCGTCCACCACATGTCGACGTGTCCGCGGCATCTCCCACAGGCGAGCCGCTCTTCTCGTCTCACATGCTCGACCTGTCCGAGGCGAGTGGGCAGGGAGGGGAAGGGTGCGGGAGGGCTGCGTCGGCCCTTGCTAACTGCTGCAAAGTGGCGGCTATAGGAGCCTCTCGAGGAGAACATCGCCATCTGCGTCGAGTACATGCAGCGGATGGCCAAGCTCGACATGCTGCTCGAGATGGAGCTTGGCAGCCCAAGACGGAGGAGGGCGACGGGTGCGGCAGTCCGGACACGTCCGCGACACGCCGGCGAGGTGTGGCGTAGGCATCACGGGCGGCGAGGAGGACGGGGTGGACAACGAGAATGCGAACCCGGAGGACCTCTACACCAAGCCCGAGGAGGTGTGGATGGTCCAAAAGGCGCTGCAGGCGGTGCCCAACGCAAAGTTCACCATCGCCGCCGCCTTTGGCAACGTGCACGGCGTCTACGCGCCCGGTGGCGGCGGCCGTCGAGCGCGAGATGCCGCGCGCAGCGTGCGTGAGAGGCGTGAACGTGGCGTAGGCAACGTCAAGCTCGACCCGAAGATTCTGCGAAACTCGCAAGAGTACATCTCGCAGCAGCTCGGCCTCGGCGCGGGCGCGAAGCCCTGCTCCTTTGTCTTCCACGGTGGTTCGGGCTCCGACATCAACGACATCAAGGCGCGGCTCGCCCCGCCCCGCCTCCCCGCCGCCCTCTCGTCCGACCCCTCGCCCGCCCCGGCCGCGCAGGAGGCGATCTCGTACGGCGTGATCAAGATGAACATCGACACCGACACGCAGTGGGCGTACTGGGACGGGATCCGGTCCTACTCGGAGGAGAACCGCGCCTACCTGCAGAGCCAGATCGGCAACCCCGAGGGCCACGACAAGCCAAACAAGAAGTTCTACGACCCGCGCATGCCGGTGCGGTCCGCCGAAGAGACCACGGTCGCACGGCTCGGCCAGTGCTTCTCGGACCTCAACTGCGTCGACGTCTTCTAACCGACGGACGCGGGAGCTGCTTGGTGCGGCGGCGGGATATGCCGGCTTGGTCGCCTCGTGTGTGCACACGCGCGTACACGCTTAGTACGCGCGACACATCAGAGGTGCCCCTGTGGCGCCCGTGCGCTGTGGCCTGTGAGCCGCGCGACCCTTGTACACATGCACATCACATGCACAATCCAGATACGTACCGATTGTCCTGAGGACCCCACTATCCTATGGCGCAGTGCGCTGGTTCACACAAAAACACAGCCACGGCAGGTGTAGATTCTTTTTGCTTGGGCGGCACTCATGACGGGGTAGGTAGGGTAGGTCTGGGCCCTCCCGTCGGGTTTTTCCCTCTCTTCACGCCGGAATTTTCACAGCAGAAAAAGAAAATTTCCGCAAAAATCACGATGTCAACCCTCCCCAAATGGATGATCTGGTGCTTGTAGGGCTTGAGAGTGGCCTGCCATGTCACAGGAAGGACTGTGGTTGCAGGAGAGTACCACCAACCATCACTTTAGTTGGTATGGTACCCCACCTTCACCCTTCCAGTGATTTCTTTTTTAGTTTCCCATAAGTAGGGTAGGTAGGTAGGTAGGGGCAGGGGAGAGGCCGGCCGGGGTTTTCCAGAATTTCATCATGAGTGCCGCCCAAGCAAAAAGAATCTACACCTGGCCACGGCACTGTTCACACACCTGTTGGGCACCACCAGCTCTCGTGTTGCGCAGTGTGGTCGCTGCAGCTGGGTCGTACCTCTTGGTGATCTTCTCCCAACTCTCCTCTACATGCTGCTGCCCGCTCTCGCACTGTCCTCCGCCTTCCTGGCTCCGCACGCCGCGTCGCGCGCCCTCTCCACGTCCAAGGTCGCCATGAATGGCGGCAAGGGCTTCGGCGGTGGCGAGGCGACGCGAGATCCGGCGCCGACCGTGATTGACCCGAACGACCCAAAGGGTAAGCAGCAGGCGATCCACAAGGCGGAGTCCTTCGCCGAGTACCTCGCCAAGCGCTCGGCGGGCGGCGGCGCGGCGCCGGCGGCCGTGGGCAGCGTGGTTCCGACGCCAAACGCTGGAACCGCGCTGGTCAGTGATTTCACCTGCACGTGGCTGTCGGCCTCCGAGAAGGCTGCACTCAAGGCGACCGCTGACGCGTTGTCTGCGCCGAACAAGGGGTTCCTCGCCAGCGATGAGTCGGCAGGTCCGTGGCTGCGAGCGGGCCACGTCGACGCTGCAAAGGTGGAGGACACGGCCGAGAACCGGGCGGCGTATCGCTCGATGCTATACCAGGCGCCAGATGTATTGCAGCTCAACACGGCGGACTTAAGTGTAAACGAGTAGAGGTGTGACCAGGCCCCCGGCTTGTCGGAGCACATCTCCGGCGTCATCCTGCACTGGGAGACGCTGTTTCAGTCGGACGCGGCTGGCAACAAGATGGTCGACCTGATCACGCGCAACGGCATGATCCCGGGCATCAAACTCGACAAGGGTTACGACACGGCGGGCATCCCCGGCACGGCGGTGGGGCCACTCGGGCACCCAGAGACATGGGACAAGGGCATCGACGACCTCGACGCGCGGTGCAAGCAGGCGTACGGCTAGGGTGCCCACAGGACCCAAAAGAAAATAGCTTCCCGACTCAAAAAGGGACGCACGAGGCAAATCTGATGTTGGCCAGTTCCAATAGGAGCGAGGCCTCTTCCGTTGGGGGACCGAGTACATAGGAAACGAGGGTTTCCCATTGTGTCCCCTTCGCGTGCGAGCGTGACACTGCACTTGGCGCCGAGCGCCCGCGGCTCAGACCTTGTGCAGGCCACCCCTCGGTGGAGGCACCGGTCCGGACCGATGGCGCTCGGTGTGGAGCAAGCAAGACCCCCCCCCCCCCCCCATCGGCGCGCGCTCGCCATTCCAACGGGCGCCAGGAGCACCAAGAGGACTCCTCATGGCTGCCTCCAAGTGGGCTTCGACCGGCCTCGGCTGGGGGGGCGGGTTGTCCCGGTTGCGGACGCCTTCTGCAGCCCCCTGGGATGGGGACAGCACCCCAAAACTGCCCCCCGGCGGCATACAGCACTGCCAGCCAGCCTCTTCCTCCTCCTCAAGGGCTGTACTATAGGCCATATTGCGCCGCCTCCTACTGGCAGCCGGGCGGGCGCGCGCCGCGGGCGCCTCGGCGCGCGCACGGCTCGCAAAGTTCGAACGAGTACTGCCGCCCGGCCGCCTCAAGGCTGCCGGGCGGCAGTACTCGCCTCGCAAGGCGCGCACCGGCTGATCTGGCTGCTGCGCCGGCGGCCGCTGCGCTGGCCGCTGCTGCGCCGGCTGGCGGGCGGTACGGCCGCCGGCGGCCGCTGCACCCGCGCCTTCCCTCGCGGGCGCCGTCGCGCCGCGCGCGCCCAACTTTGCTGGCACACGGCACGCGTCGTCACTCAGCCGCGGAGAATAGGCGGTGCAGCGCGCGAAGCGCGCGCGATCTCGTACTTTTAAGGCTGGATCCGGCCATTCCAAGGGTATACCTTTGAGAATCCCCAGCGTCCCACCCTCCTAGTCACACTCTCAATTTCTCGACTGGCCAACACGAAGTGCTGCGATCGGGGGTGGCCCATTTCTTTTTTCCTTTCTTTTTTTGGGCCCTGTGGGCACCCTAACCGTACGCGCAGGGAGCACGCTTCGCCAAGTGGCGCAACGTGCTGCAGATCGACCCGGTGCCGCAGGGCCTCCCCTCCGACCTCGCGATCACCCTCTGCGTCCACAACTTGGCGCAGTACGCAGTAATCTGCCAGAGGAGCGGCCTCGTGCCCATCGTCGAGCCGGAGATCGTGCCCAACGGAGACCACGACATTTCCGCGTGCGCCGTCGCCACCGAGCGGGTGCTGGTGGCGCAGTTCGAGGCGCTCAAGGCGCACGGATGCTACCTCGAGGGCGCCGTCCTCAAGCCAAACATGGTCAAGAATGGCCTGACGGGCCCAAAGGCGACGCCCGAGGAGATCGCGGCGGCGACCGTGACGGTGCTCAAGCGGACGGTGCCGGTGGCGATGCCCGGCATCTTCTTCCTCTCGGGCGAGACCGCACTCGACGAGGACAACGAGGAGGAGGCAACCAATAACCTCAACGCAATCAACCGGCTATACCCCGACCTGCCCTGGTCCGTTTCCTTCTCGTACGGCAAGGCGAGCCAAAAGACGACCATCGTCACGTGGATGGGCGACACGGCGAACGACCCCGCCGCGCAGCAGGCCATCCTGGCGCGCTCCAAGGCCAACGGCGACGCGTGCCAAGGGAAGTACGTCAAGGGCTCCTGCGCCTCGGTCGGCGTGGATGGCAACATCCTGCAGGCGGCAGGAGCCTACTGACCTGACCTGAGGTCGCCAGACCGCCCCAAGACCGACGCCACTCGCCCACAGTGGCGCCCGACCGACGAGAGTCTCCGGACCGTCGACCGAGCCGCTCTCCGCGAGCGGGAGAGATATCTCTTCTGTGTGCAATTCTGCGCGAGCCGCGACTGTTGTGCCCGATCGTGTCGGCCCGGCTTCTTTTCGCTCCGCATCGATGTGGATTACCGCCACTAGACGACTACGTTCTACGTCAGGGAGTAGGAGATATACTCTATATATTAAAACTCCTGGGCTCTCAATGCCTAGCCCGCCGTTCTGTCAGCCGCGGCCCGCATGTCCAGACAGTGCGGGCCTCGACGCCACACTAGGTCCATTGGGTTGAACCCTGGCTTGTCTCGAAGGTGAGGTATAGAGGGTCACATGGGGAATGCGAACTCGTCATGATGCGCGGCGACGGCGGCGTCGATATCTATCGACGCCGCCGCCCCGCGCTCCAAAACGGTCGCGTACGCATATGCGCACAACTAGGTACGTGCCAACCCGCATGGGCCAGACACCGTCAAAGGTCCCTCTCCACTCCTCCTTGCACCACTGAAGCATATGCAGCTGATGTGAGCAAGGTCGCCTAAGCGGCCCCCCTCGCTGTGGGTTGCCGCAGTTGGACCAATGCCACGCGTTGTGGCGAAGATGGCCTTATGAAGAGCCTGGCCGGGCCGGCTTCGGGCCCGGCCGCCCTAACAGTACGACGCATACGCGCCGCGACCGCTTCAAGTGTCGCCGCCGCCGCAAGGCGGACGGCGCCCACCGCCCAGCCAACAGTGGCGAGGGCGGGGGAAAGGTGGATTCGAGCCGCCCGCACGCTCGTGCGGTAGGGAGGCTCGTGTAGAGCACGCCGTGCGCAAGCACAGGTGCGCGTTTGGAGCATTCGAGTCGCAGCAGCGAAGGCTGCTGTTTACTGGTTTGTGGCACGCTACGCGTCTCGCGCGGTGAGTGCTGAGATACGCCCCGAGCACGATCGCCGGGGCGGCTGCATGACTAGAACGACCCGTGCCGTGGCACAGGTCGAGTAGAGAGGGCCGCACACGCGTCCTTGCGGGCGGCCGATTGTGAAGGGTCGAGCACACCGAAGCGAGGTGTGCTCGTGTTGCAAGTGTCGCCGCCGCCGCAAGGCGGACGGCGCCCGCCGCCCAGCCAACAGTGGCTAGGGCGGGGGAAGGGTGGATTCGAGCCGCCCGCACGCTCGTGCGGTCGGGGGGCTCGTGTAGAGCACGCCGTGCGCAAGCACAGGTGCGCGTTTGAAGCATTCGAGTCGCAGCAGCGGAGGCTGCTGCTTACTGGTTTGTGGCACGCCACGCGTCTCGCGCGGTGAGTGCTGAGATACGCCCCGAGCACGATCGCCGGGGCGGCTGCGTGACTAGAACGACCCGTGCCGTGGCACAGGTCGAGTAGAGAGGGCCGCACACGCGTCCTTGCGGGCGGCCCGTTGTGAAGGATCGAGCACACCGAAGCGAGGTGTGCTCGTGTTGCAAGTGTCGCCGCCGCCGCAAGGCGGACAGCGCCCGCCGCCCAGCCAACAGTCGCGAGGGCGGGGGAAAGGTGGATTCGAGCCGCCCGCACGCTCGTGCGGCCGGGAGGCTCGTGTAGAGCACGCCGTGCGCAAGCACAGGTGCGCGTTTGGAGCATTCGAGTCGCAGCAGCGAAGGCTGCTGCTTACTGGTTTGTGTGGCACGCCACGCGTCTCGCGCGGTGAGTGCTGAGATACGCCCCGAGCACGATCGCCGGGGCGGCTGCATGACTAGAACGACCCGTGCCGTGGCACAGGTCGAGTAGAGAGGGCCGCACACGCGTCCTTGCGGGCGGCCCGTTGTGAAGGGTCGAGCACACCGAAGCGAGGTGTGCTCGTGTTGCAAGTG